GGTGTTTTGCCCTCAGTTTTGGCTTCAGCAAGAGAAACGCATGCTCAGTTGGATTCAGGTCAGATGATATGACTTGGCCATTGCAGAACATTCCACTTCTTTGCCTTAAAAATGTCTTTGGTTGCTTTTGCAGTATGCTTCAGGTCAATGTCCATCTGCACTGTGAAGCATCGTCCAATGAGTTTTGAAGCATTTGGTTGAATCTGAGCAGATAATGGTGCCCCAAACACTTCAGCTTTCATCCTGCTGCTCTTGTCAGCAGTCACATCATCAATAAATACAAGAGAACCAGTTCCACTGGCAGCCATACATGGCCATGACATAACAGTACCTCCACCATGCTTCACTGATGAGGTGGTGTGCTTTGGATCATGAGCAGTTCCTTCCCTTCTTCCTTCTCTTGTCTTCCCATCATTCTGGTAGTTGATCTTTGTTTTATCTGTCCATAGTATGCTGTTCCACAACTGTACAGGCTTTTTAGATGGTTTTTGACAAACTCTAATCTGGCCTTCCATTTTTAAGGCTAACCAATGGTTTGCATCTTGTGATAAACCCTCTGTATTTATTCTAGTGAAGTCTTGTCTTGCTTACAAGAGCAGCAGGATGAAAGCTGAAGTGTTTGGGGCACCATTATCTGCTCAGATTCAACCAAATGCTTCAAAACTCATTGGACGATGCTTCACAGTGCAGATGGACATTGACCTGAAGCATACTGCAAAAGCAACCAAAGACATTTTTAAGGCAAAGAAGTGGAATGTTCTGCAATGGCCAAGTCATATCATCTGACCTGAATCCAACTGAGCATGCGTTTCTCTTGCTGAAGCCAAAACTGAGGGCAAAACACCCAAAACACAAGCAGGAAGTGCAGACGGCTGCAGTAAAGGGCTGGCAGAGCATCACCAGGGAAGAAACCCAGCATCTGATGATGCCTATGTGTCCAACACTTCAGGCAGTCATTGACTGTAAAGGATTTGCAACCAAGTATTAAAACTGACTGTTTAATTGATGATTATGTTAGTTTGTCCAAATACTTATGAGCCCTTAAAGTCGGGGGACTGTGTGAAGAAATGGTTGTAATTCCTACACGGTTCATACTACATTTTTTGAAAAAAGCCTTAAATGAAAGCTGAGAGTCTGCACTTTAAGCAGGTATTAATTGTTTCATTTAAAACCCATTGTGGTGGTGTACAGAGCCAAAATGATGACAACTGTATCATTGTCCAAATAATTATGGACCTGACTATACATGGCATGCTGTATGTCATGTAACACTTGTCACATACTTGTGAATTTTACGTTATGTTACAACCGTAGTTATTTTAACCCAAATCATGATACTTTATCCAAACCTAAGCAGTTTTGTTGCTGAAATCTCCTTTTTTGTGTGAAGATGTTTATTTTAAAAAGACACTTTGCATGTAAAAAGTGGGAACTAACACATCTAAATTTGTTGCTAGATGGGTACCTGGAGCATCATAGTTTGATGCGTAGGGCGACTGACCAAGCTGAAATATTTGACATTATGGAAGTGAAAACATGTTGGCCACAGAAACTGCAGCACGTTGTCTTTGACTGTATGAACTATACTGGGCTGTTAAACAGTCTGTTTAGCAAGATGAGACAGAGCTAGTTTATAAACTGTTGCCTTGAGAGGAGGAACATGTTACACCCTGTAAAAAATGCAAAAGAATTACTAGTTCTATATTGATTAAATTTACTGTGTCAAATGAATATTTTCTCTATCAAAATCACACTTGTATATCTGCAATTATCTTTGAAATATCTCTTAACCAATCACAGCCTTTCATTTCAAACTGCCCTTTTCAAAGAAAGATGGGGATTTTACTAGGTCACTGGTCGGTGGCAACACCACTATAAGCGGATGTTCAGTTACTAAGTAATAAGTCCTTTGAAAGAGGTAGAGAGCCTTGGATTTAATGGCTGCTTAGAGATTTATGGACACGTTAAAAACTGCAGTCAGAGGCTCTTTGATGCCACTTTGTTACAACCACCCAGGCATTCTTCTTTCTCTTTGTGCATAGAAAGCACCAGAGTAGATCAAACAAAACCATAGTGGACTACTTTATTGGTGCATAATAGGCATTATAAAAATGAAATGTACATGTTCACACCACACTGGATGACACAATCAGATAAGATGTTGTTAACAGTTTTCCTCTGCTTCCTCTTTGTCCAGGTTAACCCTCCAAGGGACTTTTTTTCCCGTATTCCATGTACTCAAACAGACACACCACAAAAACAAAGTAAAATGACAGAGACATCTTGAAAGTAGAAGCTGCTGCCTCCCTTTGGACAGAGGAGTGAACAGCAGACAGAGGAGCTGACCTGACGAGAGTTCAACTTTTTCTTTCATGTCAGGCTACAATATTTAAAAGTTGCAAAATCCAGACCTGTCAGATACGTCATATATCATAGTACTTGCTCTTAAACTGACTCCTCTTTGTTGCCCTTCCCAACTCTGCCCACACCAATTTCACATAAACATCTCTGTGATCTCCTCTGAACAAAAAAACCTTATATGTTCACATTTACAATCGGCCTTCAGTCTGATTCACAGAACACACACAGACTGGAAATGACAGAGCTTCTCTCAGAGCCGACCTCAGCCTGTATTTCGCACAGCCTCTTCAGTTTTAACCTCAATTCTATTTGTTTTGAGAAATGTTATTTCTTAAAGTAACAGAACACCTAAAAGGCACAGTTCATTACCTCATGAACTCTGTATTTATCTAACATCAGCGAGTGTCATGAAATGATGCTGGTGTCTGATTTCTTGTGGGATGACTGACCTGAGTTATATCAGGGGTCACATGCCTCACACGTTGTGTGTTTCCTTATTAAAGTGATTTAATTGCAAGTATGTGACAAAGTGTGCGTCAGGTTTTTTCACTGTCTGTGTACACACCGGTCAACAACAGCACTGAGGAATGCAGAAGGCCTGCTATAAAACTGAATACAGCTACAGTGAAGCACATAAAGGATTCTGCTTTTTACACACACACCTCTACCTACCATGTGAGAGAAAAGAAAATTGTTACTAAATGATACAAAGAGAGTCACCAAGAATTGATAATATGTTGTTAGCTGAAGCAACAAGTTGAAAGTTTTTCCAGTTTTACACACAGTTTCAGTTCCACACAGTGCCAACCTCTTCCTCTGGAAGTTTACGGCCTCACAAAACCTCAAACTGTTTTCTTTGCCATGATTGCAATTTTGAGCAAATCTGAAAGTGAGTTTGTGTGTGTGTGGATCAAAATAATGACCAACAGAACACAAAGAGCGAATTGGTAGTAGTAGTGATATATTGATGTTCCAGGTGTCTTGTGGCATATATGTCCCTTTTATTACGTATGTGAGGATATTGCAGGCTTATGGGAATGATGTGGAGGTCAGTTGGTAAATGAGAGCTTTAGATGTAGCCTATGTTTTATGCTGTGATTGTGTCCATTGTAATGAAGTGTTTTACATGTTTTGCTTTGGAACCCCCTTGAAAAAAGACTGTTCGAGACTGTTTATCTCAAGGGGCTATCCACTAAACTTTTTTGAATTATGACTATAGAGGGGATCTCAAACTACCCACAAGGATTTCCTCCCCAGTCTTAGTAATAATAAAATTTTCCAGCCAGGCTGCGAAACCAGAGCATAAAAATTGGCTCTTTATGTCACATTTAACAGACCGTGCAACTTGTCAACACACTAAAGCTGTGATGAACAGCACTCTAAAATAACTGTAACAGACACCAAAATGTCTCCCTCCAAAACTCAAGCAAAGGTTGACCCCAAATATAGACAGTTTCAACACATGCAGACAAATGATGATTATTTTAATTTAAAGTCTTCCTTCCAGTCCAACCCTGTCTCCTAGAAATTACTTGTTTATGTTACTGACCTGCTTTCTTAATCACGTTGTTGTGGCAATGTAAAAATTGGAGGACATTGACACTTCAGGTTAGCAAACAGATTCCTGTTTTAGATTTAGGCAACAAATGCACTTTGGCTGTGATTGGGAAAGATCATGATTTTTGTTAAGTGTTAATGAAAATAATGGAACAAAAAAAGAATGCTGTTGTCTGTAAGAGTGGATACTGTGTTGTGAGATTGGCTATTTTGGTGGAAATACATTGTCAGTGAACACTGATACGTTCAGTATCAACGTGTTAATTTTCATATTAGTTTTGTTTGAATGGATTAGATAGTCTAATGGATTAGACTTAGATTGAGCCGTTTAAATCTTCATACGGAGTGGATCCCTTTCCACAGAGTCTGCCATGTAATTCTACAGTCGCCTAATATGGACAAACCAAACCACTGACCTAGTTATGGCCATTTGCATTTTAATGTTGAGCACCATAGTTCTCCTACATAATTAGCACATGGAATAAGTTTCAGATCTGCAACCTCACCGCAATATGCCACTAAATCCTCCACACTAGACCTTTAATCATCTTTCACACAGTAAAACGGACACAGTTGAGTAACGACATTCTAGATATTTTTTTGGACTCCAGCAGCATGTCAGCCATACTTTGCGAAGGTGTAATACAACAAAATAACTGAGCACAAGACCAAATTTGGTCCGTCGGAAATTTCTGTCAGAGGTATCGTCATTCAAAACAGACTGAGTCATCTTTCACTCAGGACGTTACTCCACCCTCCTGCTGCATGAGGTGAAACTGAAAATGGGGGAGGGGTAATTATCAGAGGGAAGATGAAGTAAATAAATGTTATGTTACTATAATTTTTCTCTGATAAGATGCCTATATTGTGTTAAATTGTGTGTTTTATCATGCATGTGGTGCTACATGTAAAGCAGTTTCACCTGCTTTCTTTTGTTAGACTTAATGAGACAGAATGGGTGGGGGAGGGTAAACAGGTTATGGGTTTGTGGAGTTTGGGGGAGTGGAGCTGAAGAGCAGGGACTGATGATGGTTAGCTGTTTTTCCTCCATGGCCCCTCCTCTCTCAGAGGGAGGAGATCATATGTACCTGTTCCTCTGAATCCTCTCCCATTCAGTAAACTCACCTGACTGACAAAGGACTTGCCTCCATCACAGAAGGAGACAAACAACTCACAGGCTCACGTCACTGCCAGAGAGGAATTACAGTCTACAGAGAGGCTTTCAAGTCAAGAACAACTCAAAGAACAAATCAGCCGTCAACGATGGTGTCCGCTGGGCTACAAATCCTGGGTGCAGCCCTGGGAATCCTGGGCTGGATTGGTGCCATCATCGTGTGCGCCATTCCCATGTGGAAGGTCACTGCCTTCATCGGCAGCAACATCGTGACCTCGCAGACGTCATGGGAAGGTATTTGGATGAGCTGCGTGCACCAGAGCACGGGCCAGATGCAGTGTAAAGTCTATGACTCCATGCTGGCCCTCAGCCCTGACCTCCAGGCCGCCCGGGCCCTGACCATCGTCGCCATCGTGGTGGGCATCATGGCTATCCTGCTCTCCGTAGCTGGGGGGCAATGCACCAATTGTGTGGAGGATCAGGTGTCCAAGTCCAAGGTGGGCATTGCAGCTGGAGTTATGTTCATCATTGCTGGGATCCTCTTAGCCATCCCTGTCTGCTGGACGGCCCACACCATCATCCAAGACTTCTACAACCCACTGATGGTCAGCGCCCAGAAGAGAGAGCTGGGTGCTGCACTCTACATCGGGTGGGGGGCGGCTGCCTTGATGCTGATCGGAGGAGGAATGCTCTGTTGCCACTGTCCCTCTAAGGATGACGACTCCTACACTGCAAGGTACAAAGCAGGCAGATCTGAGGCCTCAGCACCAGCGTCCGGGAAAGACTATGTCTGAAACAGATCTAGAAGTCAGTAAATATCTTCCACAAAGCAATGTTTACTGGGACAGATGCACTGGTGCTGCTGGGTTTTGAGTGTTGATATTTCAGGATGTTACTTGAGCAAAAAGTATTCCTGAGTTTTACTCCTCATGAGAGTGTTTGGATGAAATCAGCAGCAAGAAGGGAACCACACCCAAAGAGGAAATTAAATTTTATATGTTAACACAGTCATTTGTGTATGTATGATTTATGATATGAATATTAGTCATTTGTAAGTCTTTTCTGAGTGGTATGAATATTCTATAACCTAAGTTGAAATGCTGTATGTGGGTTATTTTTGTAAACCATGTCTATGAGATTCATGATGTGTCACTTAAATTGTAAATAAATATTTTGTTTACAAATGAGAGATCACTTGTGCTTGCCTTTTATTTTCACATGCATTCACACAACAGCTGTTAAACATGTTTCATCCAGTGGTCTTAAAACAAAGCAAATCACCATATCATCAAATTCTAATTGCAACTTTTATTGTATTCTTTGTTTTTTATATACTTTTTGACACATTTAGCGACACAGAATTGTCTCTTCACCCCCGCATTACATCAAAACAAGGACCCTTTTTCCAAACAAAACACCCTCAGACAGTTTGAGAAGCATCTATTGTCTGACATTCTTGTAGATCAGGTTTAGGTGTGGCAGAAAAAAAAAAGAGGCAAGGTGGTTGGAAACAGGTCTTTGTTTAAACTGTGAGCCTACGGGCAAAGGTGTTTGTGCTTTATACAGACTCACAGGACCAATTTTTCATTTGTTAAGAGAGCACATAGTATGTCAGGAAATATCCACATCCCTTTGCTTCGATCTTGTAAAGTTAACAGCATTTCCTGCCTCGAGGAATCTATTTTGACCGATCTGATGCAAGTCCCTTAATTAAATATGCAAACCTTAATACAATAGTGTGTCTGAGATTGAGTGACTGATTTTAATTGCATTTTTAAGAACTTTGTCAACTTTTTCCTGTTTTAGAAACATCCACTTCCTGATCTGTTTTTAGTTGAATATGCTGACCCCAACTCTTAAGTCTAGAGTTTGTGTTTGCTCAAGGCTTGATCTGTGTGAATGGGTTGGTATGTGTTTGTGTGCGAGCACAGGTGGGATCTGGAGCCATTGTTCCCAGTCTCAAAGTCTTGCTTGAGGTAACAAAGCTTGTATGTGTGGGAACAATGAACAGAGAGAGAACAAGGTTTGTGGATATCAGATCTCAGTTTTCCCCTTTTGTCTGGGAGCACAGAAACTCCACCCTGAAAGTCTGAACCACAATGGGAATCAGTTATCTTCTCACAGTGTGACCTCGCAGCATCAGAGCACAGCAAACACTTCCTCAAGCAGGTGTGAGAGTGGAGGAGTATGTGAGAGCAGCTATAACCCCTGTTGGGTTTTTATGCACTCGCAATCTTAAAACCTTCAAGACGTGAGCATTTCTGTAAGAGCGACTTATTCCAGTGTAGAGGTTGAGTCCTGGCTGCAGTGGCGCTATCATGGCTTCTCAGGGCCTCCAGATCATGGGTGTGCTGCTCGCCTTCATCGGCTGGCTGGGCACCATCATCACCTGCGCTATGCCCATGTGGAGAGTCACCGCTTTCGTTGGGGCGAACATCGTCACGGCCCAGGTGATCTGGGAAGGCTTGTGGATGAACTGCGTGGTCCAGAGCACGGGCCAGATGCAGTGTAAAGTGTACGACTCCATGCTGGCTCTGCCTCAAGACCTGCAGGCTGCCAGGGCCATGGTGGTCGTCTCTGTGATCGTCGGGGTGTTCGGTATCCTCATGGCTGTAGTAGGAGGAAAGTGCACCAACTGCATGGAGGACGAAGTGGCCAAAGCCAAAGCCTGCATCGTGTCCGGAGTGATCTTCATAATAGCCGCCTTGCTGATCATGATCCCAGTGTCGTGGTCAGCTCACGCAGTGGTCAGGGACTTTTATAACCCCCTGGTGGTCGCGGCTCAGAGGAGGGAGCTGGGGGCTGCACTCTATATCGGATGGGGCTCTGCTGGGCTGCTGCTGCTGGGAGGAGGCCTGCTCTGCAACAACTGCCCCCCAAAAGATGACACAAGACCCTACATGCCTGCCAAGTTTGCCCCTGTAAGAACCGTATCTTCAAACGTGGACTATGTGTGAGTTTTTTGGGCTAGAACTGCAGAATAAAATGTCTCAGTGATTTTTATTAAAATTTGTAAAGGCTCCCATGAAAAGTTTCACAGAAGGATCTGTTTCTCAAAAATGTTGATGCTAAGGCTGACATGAGCGAGAAAGCGGTGTAATAAAGAAGAAAAAGCTTCTCAGTCTTTGAAATATTTCACAAACTCTATCAACAATTTGGACCATTAAAGGTACAAAAGACAGCCCAGTAAAGTTGTTGTCTGGTAGTTGATTTTTTTTCCAGATAAAATGTGTACCAACAAAAGGTTGACATATGCTGTCAATTATCATTTTTCACAAAGAAATGTATTTTTTCTCCTTCTTTTGTTACAAATAAATATTTTCCCTATTGTGAATCTGAAGGCTGAAAACCTGTAACATTTCTCTGAAACAATATTATTTTTCGGGACAACATGCCCACTATCAAGAATTGTTTTCTTCATAAAGGGAGTGATGCTCTAAACCTGAATACATACTGTACATCCTTTATTAAATTTCTCTGATTTATAAGTTATTGTCTAGACTGCTGCCTAGAGAAGTTGTGAAAGCCAAACAATTTGGATGAATTCAGATTTTGATATTAGACAATGTGCTTGAATCCGGTTGTAAAGTGTTTTTTAGTCATGCATTTTAGTCACTATCTTTAAACCGTCAGAAATAAAGCTTCTTTGTTCATACATTCCTCTCTGCTGTTCACTCTGCACCTGCAGACAACACTGTAATAAAACTGAAACTGAACTTCTCAATAAACGTGATAAGGCATTCAGGAATCTGGGGGAGTAGACTCCTGGGAATTTACTGTATCTGCCTGAGATGTTTGCCATGGTGTAATCCTCCGCCCTTGTATTAAGATGGTAATTTAGGGTTTCTGTCCTGAGTAAAATGGACGTCACTGCCAGAGACAACAGTGCGCTGTGTATGCTCCGATTCATGTTGCTAAGGAACTGTTTTATATCTCCAAAGAATGGATATTTACACTTTGCCCAGTGAGAACACATCTGCCAAGTCTTGTCAGCTTGATCTATCCTGAACCTCTTTAATGGTTTTCAGTTTAAACCAGTCTGACAAGAAAAAACAATACGTCCCTGTAATATTTCACTTCAGGTCTGTTTTCATTTTGGCCACTCGGATGAGAGCAGGCCAAAGAAGTGTTCAGATCTTTCACTTTGGTAACAGCAGCAGTACCGCAAAATAGTAAATTACAAGTAAAAGTCCTGTATTAAAATTATATTTACTTCACAGTAAAAGTACAGAAGTATTATCAACAAAGTGTATTAAAATATCAAATGTAAAGGTACTCATTCTGCAGAACAACCACTGCCAAAAGCATACACAGGAAAGGAAAATACCAAAAAGCCTTTATTAAAGTGGCTGAATCATTAAAAGACTGTGTGCTTCATGTGTTGTATATTGGGTTGTAATGTGAATGTAGGAGCAACATTTTAATGTTTAAGTTGGTCAAGGTGGAGCTAAATTAAACTATTTTATATAGTCAAGTCAATTTCATTCATATAGCCCAATATCACAAACCACAAGGAGCTTTAAAATCCATACGGCATACAACATCCTCTATCCTTAGATCCTGTGAGATAGTTTAATCTCTAAAAATGTATCACGCCATCTAAGTTTAACATCATTTTGTGTGTAAAATCTTAATATTTAACAAAAAAAAAAAGCTATAGCAGTTAAATAAGTAATGGGTGAAAAGTGCAATATTTCCCCTTGAAATGTGGCATAGAATAATAGTTTAAGATAAGTATCGTAAATTGATTATGTAAAAACAGTACTCAAGTAAATGTACTTTATATTCCACCAGATCAGGCATATCAAAAAAACATTGCTGACAAAAATTCAGTTTATTGTCTGAATGAAAACAAATCACACGATGAATACATGACTTTTTCTGAAGTGCTTATGTTGCACAAAAGAAGATGAATGAAAACATCAGAAGAGTCTGAGAGTGAATTAATATCGAAATTATAACAAAACAAAACAAACAAATTAAGCTTCAATCTTAACTTCATGTTGCATTATTGTAACATGGCACATGTCTTATAGGGTCTCTTGCATGTCACAGAAACAAAAGGCCACAATGTGTTAGTCAAAAGTTAGTCACAATGCAAATCAGAAATTGATAAGCAACAGGTTTGTGCTGTATGTAAAGTCAGGTGCTTTTCAAAGGGTGCTGCTTCTCATGTAATGCAGCTACTCAGACAAATTCCTTCCCGGGCGTTGTGGATTTAGGCGCAGAGTACTTTGCTCCATTATACCGGTCTCCTCCTGTCGGGCACTGACAGCAGAGGAGAGTACCACCGATCAGCAGTAGTCCTGATGCTCCCCAGCCCATGTACAAACACGCACCCAGTTCCCTCCTCTGGGCGTCTGGGACCATGGGGTTGTAGAAGTCCTTTATGATAGTATTAGCAGGCAGAGACACAGTCACCAGACACAGAGCTCCACTCAGGATGAAGAAAACACCTGCGGACATGGCCACTCTGGCTTTTGCTACCTTGTCCCCAACACAGGTGGTGCATTTCCCTCCGACCACAGACAGCAGCAGGCCGAACAGAGAGAACAGGATGGCGATGACCACCATAGCCCGAGCCGCCTGGAGGTCCGGAGGCAGGGCCAACAGGGAGTCGTAGACCTTGCACTGCATCTGGCCAGTGCTCTGCACCACACAGGTCATCCACAGTCCTTCCCAGATAGTCTGAGCCACCACGATGTTGTTCCCGATGAAAGCAGACACCTTCCACAGAGGCAGCATACAGATCAGTATGTTTCCAATCCATCCCAGCACCGCCAGCCCGACGCCCAGAATCTGCAGCCCTAAAGATGCCATTGCTGTTCGGTGGTGCTCCTTGTCTTTCTTGCTGTCTCAGTTCTAAACTGGGCTGCCAACTGAAAGCTCTCCCACTGAGGCAAAGTTTTATATGACCCACAGATGCCTCGAAGCAGCCCCCGCCTCTGGGTGAGCTTTGGCTTCATTGCTCAGATGTAAACATCCATCATGCTGCCTTTGGGTTCAGAGGTGTTTCTCTCCTACAAAGAGGCCCTGTGGTGCCCCAGCAGAGCTCTGAGAGAGAAACCAAGCTTAAACAGTGTGGCTCAGTCAAAAGCTTGTTACAGTAAATGTCTGATGTTGTAAAAACTGAAACATGAAAAACTAACTTAATAGAGTGAAAAAATACTGTACAATATGGACTTTGTTTAAAATATTAATATCAAGTCTTTTGCAAACCAGTAATGTCAAACAATAATGGGTTATTAATAGGATGTGGATCCAAGCAGGGGCCTCAGTATGTTGAGAGACTGAAAAGCTCTGCCTGTATGAAAAGTAGAAACGTTAATTCGGTTAAAAATATATATATATTTTAATATTATTAAACCTTGTTTAACTATATAATCTCATTTTCATCAGCGTGTGTGTGTGTTTCATATCCACATATCTGTGTTAAGGAGGAAAATAAATACAAAAAAGGGAGTATAAACTGATGCAGTGCTCATCTTGAGGTTGTCACAGTAACCAATAAACCACCTGCTAGTACAGGCCGAATGTACAAGACACTGAGTCAGCTCTAGCACCACATGTTGCACTTGACAGTTTGTGGAAACTATCAATACGCAAAAAAATCAGAACAGCTAAATCAGGCAAAGTGTCTACAGCAAGGATACTTGATTTGCCCAGGAGCCACTTTTGCAAAATGACAAGAGACCAGGGGACAGTCAGTAAACAAACATTAATATTATTTATCAGTGTGTATAATAAATTAATTGCCTGTTTTCAACCTTTTGACATTTGCTGTCCTCACTCATCTTTGCCCAGAGGCAAATCCAGTCGCAGCAGCCCCACACAGGTCAGATACACAGTAGGATTGCTGGGATTTGAGGACGTTCCTGGACCTCTGCTGGTAGGTCTGGGGAATCCTCCCCTGCACTTGTTTTTTAATGTATGAGAAAAGCTCTACTTTAAGGCTCTTTATATATATATATATATATATATATATATATATATATATATGTATATATTAATTGTAAATGGGCTGCACTTGTATAGCACCTTTCTAGTCATCCGATCACATAAAGCACCTTTTACACAAGTTACATTCACATTCATATCAAGGCTACCACACAAGGTGCCACCTGCTACTCAGTTTTTAACACACTCACACAGTGACAGATCAGCCATAGGGAGCAATTTGGGGTCCAGTGTCTTGCTCAAGAATACTTCAACATACAGACTGGAGAAGCCAGGGATTGAACCACAGATCTTCCAATTAGTGGACAACCTACTCTACCTCGTGAGCCATAGCCACTCTAGATTTCAGACCTGGTGGATATGGCAACACCTGTAGTTACTGTGGCAACAGTAAATGTGTTTTAATACTACAGGTCACAGAGTTCAGACAGTAATTGGCCTTTTTCTAGCATGCTGCACATGGCACAAGTCTGTGGACAGTGAAACGGTTACCTCGCTAAATAGGAGGTGTGCCGCCTGTCGCCTGCAGCTCTTCAACTGACAACTCACTGTTCCTCCTTGTTCAGTTACTCTATGCAAATGCCGAAAATGACTGTTGTCTTGTTTTGTAGATACATTCTTGATGAATGACAGCAGTAAGTGCTAACTCACTGACAAACACTGCATGGCCAGTGAGTACTTCACAATAAAAGTCAGCCTATGTCTCTCCTCCAAAATGCTTTTAATGTGAAGGTGCAGCAGGAGGAAATGTTCAGTTTGCATTAGCAGTAACATAATGCAAGTTCATAATATTGCAAATACATTAATATTGCAGTACTTTAATCAGTGGGCTATAGGTTCAGTCACCATTGTGTTATTGATTGGGAGCCAGTGTGATAAGCTATAAGATGTAGTTAATTATTATTAAACTTTATTCTGTCTTATAGAAGTTTACTAAAAGCTCGAAATATAAAACTTAACATGTTTTTATTTGGTAAAATACTAACATCTAGGCCTACACTATATGTTCCTGTAGGGATTTGCTGTTTTAATATCATCTCATATTTACTCTCTGTGGAATATCTCCAGGACTATCCTTCATATTTTTACTGTCTTTGTTTTGATACATCTTTGTTGTTCATTCTGATACAGATGTTTGGCACATGTTCAAAAACTCAGATCAGCATGAGTAAGAACAAACAAACCCAACAGGTCAACTGAGGCTCACTGTTAATCAGCACAGGTGGAGTCACTCTGCTTGATTGCTGCACTGGTGAAAGAGCATGAAATAAGGTGGCATGCAGGCAGCCATCAATACAATGTAATGTTTAAGGTCTGTAGAGACACTTCAGAATGTAAAACAAGATAATATTTTCAGTCTTGTTACATAATGCAAAAAAAGAAAGAAAATACATCCTACCACGTCTTATTTCTTCTCATGAGTCAGATGAAAGCTGAACAATAAATCATCACATGCACTTTAAATAAAAGGGCACATGCCTTTCTTCATGTTTTGCTTATACTTCACAAATCAAGAGAAAAAAAATAATGGAGAGTAAATTAGATAATAGAAATTATTTCAGATTAATAAACAAAGTGAACGGGTGGAGATATTTCAGAAATGATTGATGCAGTTTATATTTTCATTTGAAGCAAAACATTTGATATGTGTAAAGCTGCAATCTCAACTTCCACCAGTGTGTTGCTGACAATATGGGG